CGAGCTGAGGACCGTGAGTCGCGTCGTCGGTGACCCGCGTGATTCCGAGGAGTACACGTACTGGGAGACATCCTCGCATGACACTCTCGCCTACGCCTTTTACAGCGTGCCGGATCAGTACAGGAATGTCCCAGCAGTGAAGTCCGCCTCGCGCATTTTCGACCAGATTCCTGACGGCCAGCTCGTGCGACCGGACAAACCGGAGCCTGCGGTTCTCCGCCTCAGCGCGGTGAAAGGCACTGATGGCACCCGGAGGAACCTCGAGAGGCTGAAGGAGGAGTCCATCAAGAAAAACGTGGTCATCCTCGGCGCCAGGAGAGGCGAAGATATCGCCCCCAGGATCGGAAACACGATCGCTACTCTGTGCGCCAAAATCGGGGACATTGCCCGATTCCTGGAGATGGGAGTGAGATCCAGGGCAGGGCCTATCCTCCCGACCAAGAGTGATCCTGACCTGATGATCCAGGCCATTGTTCCCGCACCCGAGGAGCTTCTGGACTACTTCGCCGACGAGATCCGTCAGAAGGTGAAGGATAGAACGGGCGCCTCTTCGCACTACTACAGGAGAGCATGCGCGGAAATACGCGACGCGCTCCGTGGAACAGCTGTGCAGCCTGGAAATGCAGGTGCAGTCAAGGACCCAGAGTTGGAGGCCTCGTCTGCCAGCGGGCAAGGGAACGTTACTTCGGTGATACAACTGAAGAGGTTCCTGAGCCACTACTTCGGGACCAGCGTCGAGTCCGAGGATGCCTTTTCTTCATACCTCCTGTCTTCCTTTCTCGAGGATGGGGTGGGAATGTTCGAGATCATCATCACCGTCATTCGTGACAAGGAGCGTCGGTTGCTGCCTGGTTCCGCCCGCATAGCGGCGGTAAGGTCGCTTGAAATCGGATCCGACACTGATTACCGGGCATTTCGTGAACGATACCAATACATGCTCTACGAGAGCCCTGTTTGTCTTCCTATCACCTCCAAGGTGGTTCCTAAGACGCTCTACAAGGTGGTGCCTCTCCGAACGTATCGGCTCTACGTAGAACGTGGGGCGATCATTCGGGGTGGGCGAGCTCTGATCGAGCTCCTTCCCTCTCGGCCGGATGAGTATCAATCCCTCCGCGATCACGGAGAGTGCCCCAACGACACTGTCGACCGCATCACCGACAGCAACGTGACGGAGCTGCACACCTCGGGTCGACGCCAAAGGAGCGATCCCCGATATGTGGTCATGGCTATCGATGCACGTTTCTTCTCCATGGAAAATGGGGGCATGCATATTACTCGTCAGGGTACCTTTGCGTCGCGCGAGAACATCGCGATCGGGTACTGGAGATGCGTCTACTTCAAGGAGGACTGCTCCATCATTTACCTGAGGCCTTGGTGCTATCCGCCCAACTTCCTCAACTCCTTGAGTGATAACCCGAGGAAGTGTCGGGACGAGATGGAGAAGTACCATCAGATCACCAAGACGGAACATGTCCGCGAGGTGGTGTCCGTTCCATGCCATAGGTGCATGACGGCCCATCCGGTCGGCGCTCACCTGTGCACCGCCTGCTACCTTCCCATCTTCTACGATGGCGTCCTGCCCACCGGAGACACGAACGGCGGCCCTCGCACGATAGCGAGCACTGACGGGTTGGTTCCTCCCTGGCTGGCAAAATACGAGGGCTTCGTCCCCGCTCTGTGGAACAACTCAGACGCCAACGCCATCGGAATGGCCCTCTACTCGCAGAGTCCCGCCGTCGATGCCCGGTCCTTGTTGATGTCTGGGATGCGGCCTCCTAAGTACCTTGACAAAGAGGACGTGGATGGCATTTTCCGGAAACTTCACGACTCGCTTCGAGACGAAATCCTTGACGGCAAATACCGTGACACGGTCGACAGCAACGTGGAAGAGTGGGTAGCAAAGGCGATCCTGGTAAGGGGTCTGGCCTTCAACGGGAGCTCCGTCCCCGAATTCTTCGAAGAATATGAGGGATATGCGGCTGAGTGGGGCAGACGCCTAACCACCGCAAACTTCAATGCCAACCGGTGCGGTTTCTACACGTCCTACTACATTCTTGAGGCCCATATCATTGGGCTGAGAACAGGACACCTTTCTCCGATACTCCCCAACGATGTGTCCGGGGAGGGATTCAAGTTCCAGGTGGGCTGCTCGCACAGCACTGCGGGATATTGCAGGCCATGCGGAGAAGGGCCGGTTTCGATCCTGCCGCGCGCCTCAAACGGGCTATGGACACGATACGGGAAGGCATTAAGAAGGGGTATGTCTACACCCTCAACGACCTCAGCAGTATGGACGATCTGATCTACCGGACGTCCACCGTTGCCTACGACACCTGCTTGGCCGACCGTCCTCAAACCCAGGATGACATCAAACAGGAGCTATCCGACCCTGTACCAAGGAAATACCGCTTCCGACCCCGCGATCGCCATCGACCCGGAATTCGCCTTACACCAGGCCCCGGCGTGAAGGACGAAGACGAGCCCGACTTTGCTGGATCAGCGGAGGATGAGCTGGGATCGGATGGTTCTTCGCACGAAGATGACGAGAAGCCTGACGACCTTGACGAGCCCATGGGCGACGACGAGGAGGAGATCCCTCCCCCTCCGCCACCGCCCCCGGCTCCTCCTGCGCCGCCTGTCCCGGTAGAACCGGAGACTCCCGTGGTGCCGCATGCAGGCGTCATTTCTGGCGATGCTGTGCCAACTCCTCCTCCTCCTCCTCCCGCTCCCATTGCGGCAGGCGTTACTACGACTGGGGATCCGTTTGAGGAAGAGGACCCATCAATACTCGTGTCCCTGACACCGAGTCCGAGCTGGAGGGTGAGTCCGACCAACCCAAGGCCAGAAGGACATCTCGCGGTCGGGTCCCCGCGCCCGAAAAAGGGCAGGGGGGCGTTCAGGTCCCGCCTAGCGGGCAACCCAGCTCTAAGAGCATGGCCCAGCCTGCCCGCCCATCCCCGGTCCCCGCGAGAAGCGGTGTGGAAGGTGGGGAGAGAAGGGGCAGGACTAAGGGTTTCTACACCCAGAAGGATCCTTTTACCGGCGAGGACGCGACTCCCCGAGTTCGTCTTCGATCGGGCGGTCTCCTGCGTCCCCACCACGGGATGCCACCGGTTCCTTGGGCGGCCATCGCGGCTATGACCCGCGTGATGACGACAACGACGAGTGGGAGCTTCCCCCGGGTGTGCCTCGGACCACTCGTGCGGCAGATGAGTCGCGGCCCCGACGAGATGACGATCGGTCAAGGACCGCGCTTGGGGCCCGCGAGGATCGTCGTGGTCCTAAGGGTGAGGGGAAGGGTCGAGGAAAACATCGACCTGGCAAAGGAGGACGTGAGGATCCCGGCCCGCCCCGACAAAGGGATGATCGTGGCAGGGACACCCGCGGAGGCCGACGCGATGATCGCCGACCTCCTCCACGTCATGAGGAGACCTCCGAGAGGCGCGGCCCGGGGCGAGATGAGCGCCGCGGACGTGATGACCCGGGCGATGACCGTCGCGATCGCCACCGGGACCGGCGCAGGGATGACCGACGTCACCAATCAGATCCCCCTCCGCCTCGCCGACCTCCGGCTGGCGACCACAATAGGGGTGGTGGTGAGGATCGCCGTCGGGATGGAGGAGGTGATCGAGGTGACCGTGGTGGACGCCGAAGAGACGACGCGCCCAGGGACCGGGAAGAGCCTGGTTCAGGGTGGTAGACGGGTGCCGCAATCAGCATCCGCCGGTAGACGGGTGCCGCAATCAGCATCCGCCTTAGAAGGGCGAGGATAGTACGTGTGTCGCCGACAAACGCGACCGCGCCGGTCCTCCTCTCGCCCGTGCAGCGCTGCTGGGGGTGATGATCTCCATTGCCCTGTACCGCTGATCCGGCGTTGCTCGTGTCCCTCCCGCACCGCTGCCGTGCGCGCCGGAGATGGTTCCCCTGGCGATCCTGTGTGAGGCTGTGACCGCACTAGAAGTGCCGGACCGGCCATAGCCGGTATTTTCACACCAATTTCGGAGCTTCCGTTTCTACTTTCCTCCCAACTCGACTCCTCTTCCAACCGTTCCACGGCGTGCAGTGAGGCGCGGTGATCCAGATAGGATCCCCCTCCGCATGGCATCGTCCCATGACAACTCATGAACGGCACGAGAGGAATCTTCGTCTGGTTCCTCCAATATGTCTTTGTTCACTCATGTGGTCCACTCGTCAAATAATCCTGTCGCCCCGATAATTCGGGGTGGTGGCGGGATTTTAACTGGGGCCCAGGTGATGCCGTTTGGCTCACCTCTGAGTTGACACCGGCATTTTTGGTTGGTCCCTTTCGTCGTGAACTCAACTGTCTCGCATCCTTTCTCTCGTCCAGATATCGGATGAGGGGGGTGTGTTTTGTTCACGTGTTGTTTCATCATGTGGCAAAACGGCCGAATGGCCGTTTGGCTCAAGATTTGGATCCCCCGTCGGGACTTCCTTGGATTTGCGTGCGTTCGCCATAGTGCGGCGATTGGCTGCGCCATCGCGGAAAAGGTCCGTGGTGTTCCAGCTGTTCGGCACTAGGAGGTGGGCGGCAGGTCGCCGAGGTGCTCCCGGGCCCGACCCTTGTCTTTACCTTCTTCTACCAGTTTCCTAACCTCCCCAAACTTGATCTTCATTAACTGTCACTCCCACAATCTGGTCACCGGCACCCTCTACATTGTGCTTTGGGACTGGGTTCTTTTGGTACTTCGTGAACCACGTGTACCTCTTTGATTCCCTGGGCTACTTCGTGTTCGCCCAAAACCGCAGTTTTGAAGGGAAAGAGTTCAACTTGAACCCGCGAAGAAAAGGGCTGGCACAGGAGCATAGGTCCCGCAAAAGCAGACCCCCTTCTGTTGGCCTTACATGGGCTCATTTTGTCATGTTCACTGAGCCGTATTGAGCCTTCCTTGTTGCCCCCTGCCATGGACAGTTAGCGGCAATTTCACAGCACCGAGCCCTGAAAAGCCGGTGCTCCTCGTTTGTTTGAGAAAAGCTTCCAGAACGTGCTGACGATGATCGCCATGACCGCGGACCCCCCGGGAGACGTGTCCCAGCGCGCCCGGAGCGGGCTCATCGCGGCCGTGAGCAAGGCGACCTTCTCGGCCCCCCGGCTCGGCTTGGGGCCCGCTAGGGGGAAGCTCCTTCGAAAGGAGCGGTTGAGACCTGGGGGCTGTTGGCATCTTCCCGAGTCCCGGAATCCAAAGACGAGTTCCTGTTTGGATGTTGCCAGACTTCGAGATAAGGAATGCACAGCACGTTTGCCACATGGAAGGAGTTTTGCTCAAGGCTCCCAAAGCACATCAAATCATTTGGTGGCTGGGGTTCGGAAAAGCCGACATAGAGGGATCCATACCATACCATGGAGAACATTTGTCCGTGGGTTGGTTAGTTGACTTGGAAAGAGCCCACGGTAAGTTAGGACAGGACTGTGTCTTGGTGAGCCGTTTCTGCGAAGTGGGGAACACCTTGCGCCATCGAGATACAGTCCTTGGTCAGTGAGGGTAAGCTGGGAGTTGGACAGCTTCAGAGAGCTCAGGGTGTCTCGAGTTGTGCAATTCAGCTTTTGGAAAAAGGGGGGGGGGGGCGCCTGGTCGAAACCAGGGACCCTCCTTCTGGTTCCCTACATGTGAAATGGCAATGGGTGTCCTGTTGATTGACAATCCAGCCACTTGCGGGTTGACAGGGATGAGTGCCATTTGTTCGACAACCATGTACGGACTCATTGGGACATGACCTGCGAGCGGCTAACCATTGACCGTGGCATGGGAATATGTGAGCCAAAATCAAAGCCGAGGCTTTGGGCCACTCAGATGTGATCTTCTGACATGAGTGCTGAGTAAATTTCTGTGATACGAGGCTGGCACATGGGCATCTCTTCACTTCTTGCTTATCCAAAGTCGTGATGGTGCGATGCTGCGACATGCAAGGGAGTTCCTAGATTCCTAGATCGCCCTCTGATGTGTGGTTCTACCAACAATGCGAATTGGCGAACGTCGACCCGGACAAAGTAATCTGAATGCCAATCGATCGCCATTTTAATGTGATGCTAAAGTTACTGGGGACAGCTCGCAACCTTGATATGGGGATGCTTAAGCGGAAAGTGGGGCCGACCAAGCCCTGTAAAGGGCCCGACGCTGGCACAAGTTTGATTCCAGCCGGCCCATCCCGCCCCGCGCCGAGAAATTCATGAGCGAGTTCAACAATATCACCCAGGAGGCTTTGGAATCGGCCCGGCTTTAGCCTCGAAGTCTGTTGCTTTGGGGGTCTAGAGCCCGCAACAGATACACCCAGGTGAGGGGCTTCTCCGATGGGGCTGTGTTTTTTCGGCATATGTTAAATTACCGTCCGCACCTCATGGCCAAGGTCTCCAAAGAGGGAGAGGTAAAGAAAGCCAACCCATGCTCGTGGCGACGTGTCATAGATTCCTTCTCTTTTTGGTACGATCCGTAACACGGAACCTAAGGAATCAGGGTTGCAGGTGCGCAGCTTGGAGCATGTTTCGCTCAATGCGCACGACTGCCAGCTAGATTCAATTTCACTTTGCACAAATACATCCCATGCCAAGGAAGCTGCGAGCCCATCAGGGTTTTCTCTTGGGGATGCTTGATTTCTGGCGAGTCAGGGGTGATTGAAGATCTGTAGGCAGAATTTGTGGCCTCATTCCCATCTCCTTTGAAGCTGTGGCCTGCAGCCAGCAACCCGCGTGCGTGCGGAGGCCTTCAGCCTGCAGAGCGCCGATACCTTCTACTCGGATCGAGGTATTGAGCTGCAGAGCTTGGAGATGTCCAAGTACGACATGGTGGACCAGGCCAGCCGCGAAGCGAAGCGAAAGTTTTGGAAAGGTCCGGAAAGGTGTCCATGGCATGGAAGGAGTGAGAAACAGAAGCATTTCTGAATCTTTGAGTTTTGTGTGGCTCCACCGAAATTGGGGCGGGGGGGGGTTGGTTTGCCCCCTAAGCCGGCAGTTGCTCTTTGCGGTTTTCTTGGATGGCCGGTGTCGCGCCTTAGGCGCGGGCAGCCTCGTGAGCCGATTCGTAAGCTGACACTCCCCTCAATCACCTCCCCCAGAAACAACTATGTTCATTCATACCTTCGCTTAGAAATGCACAGGGTAGTTGTCCACTTTCCCCCGCGCTTAGCATGGTTGCGGTTTTCAGCCGGCGAGTTGCGGCTTGGAAGCCTCACCCATAGTACAAGAAGTATTGTATGTGGATTGTATGTTGATGCGACAGATCCTTTCAGGTGCGGTTCATGTGTTTGGAGTATGCAAACATGTGTTTCGGTTCAAGGCATTTCCTTTTTAGCCAGAAAATGAAAGGCCTGCTTGTTTGCTTTTGTTTGCTTCGTTGCTTTGCTATTGATGGCAATATGTATTTGTGTGTGTGTGTGTGTGTGAACGTGGATGTGTGGGTGTTGCTTCTGAAGAGGTTTGCGCCGGCAGGAAACTGCAGACATCCTGCAGCTGATCATTCAAGAGAGCACCAACCGCGACCCGGCAGGACAAATTATCTCTTCCAAGCAGTCTTTGGACTCCAGATATGCTTCGGGAAAACCACTTCGGTGGGATTGACAACCCGATTTGCATTTTTGGGGGGAGCAAATTCCGAGAAGTGGAGTATCATCAAGGACTTGGATCTGGATGGGCCTTAAAGCTCTACTGTCAAAGAATCCTTGTGGTGTGGCTACCCCTTGTTCAGCAGGGCGCCTACAGATCTTGGGGGAGTGCCTTTGTCTTGCCAACCTTCCTCTTTCTGGGGAACCTTACACTGGTTCTCCTGAGATAATCAACCCGCTCCAAAACAATGAAACTTGTCAACGTGATCATGAGTATTGTGAATGTTCCTTCCCCATGCGATTCCTTCTGGAAGTATCAGCTCTAGCTGCTTATCTCAGCGGTCAACTGGCACCTGCTCCTTGGGTGGGTTTGCGCACGCTTCCCTTGATTCTCACCAACGCGCGGCAGGTGTCCTGTACTTTCATGGCCACTGCGCTAGATATCCGGCTGCAGCCGGGTGTGTGTTTTCCCAAGGCATCAACCAGCTCCAGAAGCAGGAGAGTGAGAACGACGTCAAGGCCGCCAAGCTCATTGCAGACATCGAGCTGCTTGGCGATCTCGGCGGATCTCCTCGCTCCGGAAAGCGGGAGAAGAGGTTGGCACATGGCCAGCTGGGCTATGCAGGGTGTCCGATTCTGGACACATCAGGGAAGAAGGATCCGGAACCAGGTCGAAATGATTCTTGACTTCTGTTTGGGGAAAAAAAGGCTCCTTCGGAAGAGGTGCTCTACCCCTTTCTTCTTCCCGAAAAGTTGGTTGAAAGGCAACTCGCATCTCGGAATCTGAGTGGTTGTATTGTGGTTTCTGTCCATTCTGAGGCTTGAGAAGCAGCGGACCGAGTTCATTCAGACCCAGGCAACCGGCCATGCTCGGTATGGCTTGGGGTTGGTTTGGTACGGCTAGCCTGGTACTTGCAAGAGGCTGATGAAGGGGGGTAACAGTGGATGCCTTCAATTGTTGCATGTAAGCTAACATAGCATACGGAGCCACACAACCATGCGAAAAGTGCGTTAAGTTAGAGGAATTCCTTGTCCCCTTCCTTGTAATATCTACGGAATTCACCGCACCGAATACTTGCACATGTCACCCCAAAGTAGCGACTGGCAATTTTCCCACAAGGCACGGACTGCCCAAGCACACTATGGCAAGTCGATAGTGTTTGCACTCCAGACCTCAGTGACATTTGCCATCAAAGTTCTTGTTTGTGTATCCCATGTCGTTGCGTCCCATGTCGGGGGAACTGCCTTCTTAGGCTTTTCCATGTTGAAAGCATCAAGGACACCGAACGGCTATACTCAGGTGCCGGAAGTTAGAATGCTCCTTTGGGAGCTTCGAAAAAAAGAGGGAAAAAAAGAAAAGAAACAAAAAAGCAAAACGCTAGAGGAGAACCCCCAAAAACGGCCTCTGGGTTTCGCACGGGATCCGATCCAGGCAGCCAACGCCAAGCTGCAGGCCTCCCTGGCGGGCCAGGCCTCCGGCGCCCAGCTGGCCGCCCGCGAGCAATGGGAATCGGAGTCGAGCTTTGGGGATCGGATGAGTCGGAGAAATCCAAAGGCTGGAGGGTAGGGACCCTGTGGTTGCTTGGTTTTTTTTGTGCCATGGTCCATTCTTCCTTAAATGTGAGTTTACCTTTCGCCAACAGAAAAAAGGGTGTCCGTTTTACAAGGCAAGTAAGTTGGGTGTTGAAACGGTCGGATGTGTGTTAACGCGGAACCCTCAAAAAGGTTGGTTCACCTTGGTCTGAAAATAATCGCAACCCGAAGGCTCAGATTTTTGGTCCAAACCTTTTGGCTTCCAAGAGCACGCTCCTTCTCTTCAGTTCGCTTTTGATGTGTACCTTTGGGTCTCATTGGGTTGTTTTTGACCTCTTGGTGGTTTTTCTCAGTATCTCTATGTCAGACTACGTCCAGCGGACAGGTTCGACAGGTCTCTTAGATTACCTAGGATAGTCATCTTATGCGTGCCATTGTCATTTCACAACTTACACGGGTTTGATAGGCATGGTCATCAATCCTTTGAAGATTTTGACAAGTACCATAAAGACGTGGCCTTTGACCATGCGACACATGCGCGGTCCCACGACCCCGTAAGTGGCCCCTCCCTCAAGGGCAAACGGTCCACTCTTTTTGCATCCCCGGACAAGTGATGTCGATGTGGGAGTCGTCCGAAAGGTCCTTGTATTCAGATATGACGACCTTTTGGTATCCTGCACTTGAGAGCGCGAAAGTCGTGTGTGTGTGTGAGGGCGGTGTGCCAAAAATTGCAATGATGAGCCATGTTTGCCGGCAGTGCGCGCACAATGCACACAGGCTAAAGTTCTTCCGAGGAAAGCACGGCCGGAGGATTGCCTCAAGAATACGTCGCTGCAAATGCACCGCCCAGAAAGCAGATTGTTTCGAGTCTTGTTGAGCGCAGCTTCCCAGCTGGGCTTTCCTCGGTATCGTTGGCACAACATCCGCGAAGGTTTCGCGGAAATTGGAGGACATGCCCGCCAGTTCCGGACATGCGTGGCACGACTTTCGAGCTGGGGCTGCGGCAGCGCACGTCGCGTACTATTTTTGGAACTGAAAAGTTGCGAATTTCGAGCCGGAACTGCGCACGTGATGGAGGTGGCAAAAGTTGTGTTTTTTGTTTCTTTCGCGAAGATGGCGTTTCCGAGAACAAGGGAGTTCAGGTCGAAGTCACCTCCCCGGCCAAGCGGTCTCTGAGGACGTAGATAGAGATGTGGGCAGGCTGACAAAAACTGGCGACCCTTCTCACAGTCGTGATGGCAACTTTCCATGTGGCAACGCTCCTGAGGAATTGGATTGGCCACCCCTCAGAGTGAACCACAACCGCAAGCTTGTTTGGGACTTCCTTCAAAGGCTGTTCGCAGCACCGTAACGAAGGAGCCAAGCCCTTTCCTGTCACTTCCTTCAAGTGAACCAAGGTGGAGAGCGCGATTGCCTTCATTGACGGCCTCAACGTGAGCGTGCCGGAAGTGACGGATAGGACATCTCTCTACAGGCTGGGCCAGTTCAATTATAATTTCGGAAGAGATGGCACAACATGGATCATACCAGGAATGTATTTGTTGAAATTGAAGTCAGTTGTGGAAAAGTCCATAGCCATAGCCCCCTCTGCCACAACAATGTTGTTTTGCTCTTATTTCCCTACAAAGGTTGCAAAGGGACTGGCGTCAGGGCACCTGAGCAGTGCCCCGAACCTTGTTGGTATTTGTGTGTTAGGATTTGTACTGGATTGAGTATCATGAGTACAAGCAATCGGTGGTGAACCTCATTTGAGGCCTAAAGAGATCTGAGACCCCCCAGGGCAGCCGCTGGCGCAGTTGTTGTCCTCATCCGGTCTAAACAACATGATGGGCTCACCAGACGGAGGTAGATGACAAAGATGGACGGTTCGTCTCATGATCCGAAGTGTTTGTTGTGTCAAAATTGGCCCTTTTGGATGGATTTGATGGAAAACACAACAGGCTGCCAGTCCATGATTGGGGTCTCATATCATAATGATGCCCGGTGGGCGAGGAGTAATTCGCACAGATCCAGTCTATCAGTTATCATGAGTCTAACTCTTCGGAGGGAGGGCATGGTGATTCCCCTGTGTTGTTTTTTTTGAGTGGCACTTCCCCAAAGAACTACATATTCATTGCAAGTCTCACTGTCCCCTCACCATGAGCTTCTTCGTTTGATTTTGCGGGTGTGTTTTTTGTTCATGTCTCCGAAAAAAGCGACGGCCTTGTTTGAACCTGGCGTCTTTGGACCTGGAAAAAAAAGGGGCGGGCTTTTGTCACAGGCTGCATCAGCTTCTGGACTCCCGGAACACGGATACGGCCAACTTGGCCGCCGGCCAGGCACCGATGGAGCGGGCCACGCCCAGTCCGGGCACATGGAACCGTTCGACGTCTTGGGGTGGTTTGGAGCATTTCGTCCCGGTCAAGTTCCATGTGAATTGGTGGGAGACTATCTCAACTGGTATCTCAGAATCTTGCAAGTAGCCAATCAGTTGTAACTCATGTTGGTGTCAAATCATGTATCTGGCGATTTGTCCAAAAGGACTCTTGGGCCCAACGCCAGACCCGCCCGTTCTTGAGGGGGGCTCAATGTTGGGCGCGTCGGACTTGCTCTTTGTTATGTTTGGGCATGTTGGGATGCAAGAGAAGACCCAGGTAGGGGTGCCTTCTTGTTACTTGTGTCCTTGGCTTTTGGGTTTGTTGGTATTCTAGCACGGGTAGGGCAGGCGTTCGGCAGGCGCACGTCATGTCCTACCCTTTTCTAAGATGAAAGTGGTGCAAAAGATGTGAATGGGCGCAGGGCTGAGCACACAGATCTCTAAGAACTCGCCAGGCCCAGCTCTTCTTGACACCCTCCAATTTGAACCTGCAGTTGCGCATGGCCAACGATGAGCTGTGAGAGCCTCGCGTGGCTGGGTGTTTTTTTTGTTTTCGAGCCACTATATGAGGTCGTACGTCTGTCCAACTTCATTTGCTTTCAAGCAGCTAAGTCCTGCTGTTCTGGTGGAGGCTGTGGAATTCTCAAATTGAGAATACTGAATCTTCACCCGCCCACAAATGGAGATGAACACAGAAAGTGTTTGCTGTAGAAGTGTCACGAGTTGGCAAACATGGGTGCATAGCACGCTGGTCGATTGAAGGGCCGGGTGTTTCCTTGCATGCAAAGTGAAGAGCAACTGTACCACGACCATGTCTGATTGCATACCGCTATGTAGCATTGACATTCCTCTGAAGGAGAATGTCCAAAAAGGAAACAATGTGTACAGATTTGTATATTGCAAAATGGATGAAGTGTACTTGTATATTGATAATGATGGGCGATATGACAAATTGGTTAAGTATATAATGATGTATGGGTCAAAAGGAAAAAAAAATAAGTGTATAAATATTGAATTAAATATATATATATATATATTGTAACAATGGTATGTTAATAGTTCTTATAAGAAAAACATGAAAAATATAGTTTAGGTGTAAATAATAGGTTATTTTGAAAATTGTTTGTTGTTTTTTTAATAATAAAAATAAATTGTTAAATTGAATTTAAAGAATAATATGAATGTATGGCGAATATAAATTAGATATTGAATGTTTATAATATGGGTTGAATTGGAAGAATATTGGAATTGAAATGATATTTATATTTAAATAAAAATGGAATTGTGATAAATGTAGGTTGTCTTTTTGTGAAATAGTTGGTGAGATGATTATTTTTGTTTGATGAAATAAATATTTGTGAAGTATTGAAAATGGAATGAATTATGTGATATAAATATATAATATTATGAAAGATAAAGAATGATTGGTTTTAGATTATTGATAATGTGTATTTATGTTTTGAGAATTTATATAATTTAAAATTTGTTTTTGGAATAAATAAAGTTTAATTGTGTTATGAGTAAGTAAATTATATTTTATGAATAATTAATTATTAATAAATTGTTGAATTAAATTGAATTATATATTTTTGTTGTGTAAAGAAATTAATTAGATATAGTTATTATTATTATTATTATGAATGATATTATTAAAATAAAATATAAAATATTTCTTCGTCGTAATTCTGTATATTTTGATGGATGATTGTTTTTCGGGAAATTGGGTTGGGTTGTTTTTACAAGATATAACCGTTGTATATTTGTTATGGATTGTTTATTTCTATGTTTAGATTGTTGGAAGATATAGTGATTGTAATTTTCGAAAAATGGTTTGGGTTTTGAACGAAATTGTTGTGTTTTTTAAAAAAAGAGTCGGGGTAAATATTTGTTTATTTTTATAATTATTTGGGTTTAGTTGTGGTCGATTGTTACGACTAATGATATGTTTCTCAATATTTTGGCGAAATTAGTTCGATTTTATTTGTAGTTAGGATTTTTTTGGTCGATTGCAATAACTATATATGAGGATGGATTTAATAGTTATGATTTGTATTTGGAGAACGACATGCATTTCGCATACGAAGATTATATATTTATCTATATTTTATTTGATAAATTTTCTTGGTGTTTGATTTGCAAAAATTGTCTTGCCGGTGCGGGCTTTTACAAGATTTATTCTATTCTTGGTATATCCACTACGATAGACCTTGGTCCCTGAGAGCTCAGCTCGCGCGATGTTTTGGGAAGAATGCATGAAGCTTCGTGAGATCGTCGGTTTGTGGGTTGTGTTTGATGGGTTGGAATATGATGGAATTCTGTTTTAGGATTATTTTCTTTATTTTGGCACCAGCCTTAATTTACCCTAATTGCTGGTTTGGATTGGTGATTTTGGGATTGAACCCTTAGAGTTTATTTATTTATTTTATATTTTTATATATTGAGAAATTTTGTATTCTTTTATAAATTGATATGATTTTGGAATTGTATGTTTTATATATTATAGAGTTGTTATAATGATATTTCGGCCGAATTGTCGAACGGATATATGTATTTTGGTTATTTTTTATTAGTACGATTTGGATAATTTTTGAAGATTTGTTATGGAATTTGTATTTATTTATTTAGAATCTTTATAATATAGTTTGGCTAAATTTTCTCGAATTTTGGGTTGTTTTTGACGATTTGGTTCTCCGACCTCCAGATGTTATTTCTTCAAATTTCTTACAATTTAGCGGTTTGCAGAAAAATATTGGCTGATTTTTTTGGGGAAATTTGGTTCGATTTGTTTCTTGTGTTTTTGTTTTTTTTCCTTTTGTTTTTTTTCTTTTATTTGTCTTTCTATTTTGGTTTCTTTATTTCTCTAGGTGTCTTCCTTTTTTTATAGTTTGTTCCCCTATTCTTTTTTTATTTGATTCTTTGTCTTTTGCTTTTTATCTTTCTTTTTCGTGTTTTCTCTCTCTTTGTTGTTCTATTTCTTTGTTTTTTGTTTTTTTTATCTTTGTGTTTCTTATTATTCATATTTCTTCATTTTTTCTCATCTTATTCTATTTTCTTTTTATCTTTTTGTTTTTGTTAAATTCTCTATTTGTTTCTTGTATTTATTTATTTCTTTTTGTTTTTATTTATATGTATTCTATCTTTTTTTTTATTGGTTTCTGTATTTTTTATTTTTTATTTTATTTAAAATGTTCTTTGTTATTATTATTGTTATCTCTCTCTTTTTTTCCCCGACCGCTGCTTACTTATCGATATATTTTTACCATTGCCTGCTTGTTATTATGTTTGCCGTTGCCTATATATTATTGCTCTCTATATGCTTGCCTTTGCTTACTTGCCTTCTATTTGCCTCTATTTGCCTCTTCTTACTTGTATTTGCCTCCATTTACCTATTTCTGTCTCTTTGTCTACCTATTTCTACTTATTTATCTATCTGTTTTTCCCGACTTGCTTGCCTGCCTCTGCCTACTTGTCTATTTGTTTGCTTGCTTGCCTGCATACTGGCTATTCTATTTATTCTTACTTATTTGTTTGTTCTTGCTTGCCTATTTGCTCTTGTTTATTCGTTTTATATTATCTTGTTTATTTTGTTTATCTATTTTCTTCTATATATTTACTTGCCTACCTGTATCTGCCTGTTTGTCTACTTGTTTGCCTATCTTGCCTGCCTTGTCTGCCTTGCCTGCCTTGCCTGCCTTGCCTGCCTTGCCTGCCTTGTTTGCCTACCTTGCCTTGCCTGCCTGCTTTGCTACTTAATCTTGCTATTTGGTCTTGCTATAGATCGTTATTGGAAATAATGTAATTTCTAATCATTTTTATATAGGTATTTAATATACATAATAATGAATAATGTATATTTTAGTATGTATTTATAATATATGTGGTCGGCGAACGACTATCCTGTCCCCCTCCCCCCCGCCCCCCTAATGGTATCCCCCCCCATTTCTGTTAGCCGTTCGCCGAACGGGGTAAGACTCTCGAAGCCTTGGCCCCAAGCTAATCGATCAACGGACCTATGGAGGAGGGGGAAGAGGCATTTTTTCAAGATAATTATAAGCTGCAAAACCAACGGGCCCATAGGCGGAGGCGATCGGGGTACGTTTCTTGAAATCTTGACCCTAAGCTAACTTATCAGCGGACCCGTAGGGGAGGGAGAGGCTTGTTGCAAGATGACCATAAGCTGCAAAATCAGCGACCCCATAGGGGGAGGGGGGGGACGATTCTCGAAGTTTTGGCCCTAAGCTGATTTACTAGCGGGCCTACGAGGGGGCCTTTTATAAACAAAAGATAACTTGCAAAACTAGCGGGCCTTAACCTGCAAAACTAATGGACCTATAAGATGAGGAGGGGGTGGGGCCCTATTTACGGCTACTATAACCATGACCGGGGGTGTTAAATCTCTATTATATATATATATATTACATGTATATCTATTTTTTAAATATTACAATTAAATTAAAATTCAAATATTAATAATAATAAATATATTTACAATTTTCATAATAATTATTATTATTTAATACCGAATTAATATATATATATAACTAATTTAATTTTTCAAATTATTAATTATTTTTTAAAATATTTATAATTATATTCTATTTTAATATATATTAATAAAAATAAATTAATAATTATTATTTTTTCTAAATATTCATACATAAAATAAAATAAATTATGTTTAATTTATATTTAAATAATAATAATGTATATTGTATTATTTAAATTTAATTCGATATATCTATTTCGTAAATTTGATAAAATAAATTGTAGATTTATAATATATTATTAATGATTAATATTATTTCTATTATTAATTAGACATATAAAATATTGCTCTTTAATTAAATTAAATATATAATTTAAAATAATAATATATGTTTTATATATTATTTTTTTAAATACACATTGTAAATTATATATGATTTTTTTTATACCTAATGTTTTTTACAAATTCACTTACAAAATAATTCTAATATATACTAGCGGGGGCCTACTTTTTTCCTGCGAAATGAAGCCCATGGCAAGAAAATAACAGAATTAGAGCATGAAGAAAAATACATACAAATATACACGATTATACTCATAAAGAAAGAAATAAGTAAACAAACCTAGCAAGTGCTTGACGAAAAGCGGTTTCGAGAAAATGGTGGATAGCCGACCTCTTAGGGGCCAAAGGCCGTGGTAGGTGTGCCAAGAACAGAAAAGATTTTGTAGAGCCCACGCCGGCAAAACATTTTTTGCAATTCAAACACCAACAAAAATTATTAATACATATATAATATTCGTATGCGAAACGCATACCAATCGCGAGATGTACTGAGGGCTAGGCTGATCGGTCTTAGATACGCTTGGAAAAAGAGGCCTGCGTCGTTGAGGGCGGCCCGATAAAGTCCTTACCGAAGACCAGCCATATCCCTAGCCCACCCCTATCTTGGGAAATACATGTTTGATTTCCTTTGATTACCATTCCTAAGGGTGAATAACTCCGCCATAATACCGCCGCGAGCTTCGCAGCTTCGAACGACAACCAAAATGAGCTTCGAGCTTTTGCCTTAGACCGTGCCTAGGCAAAACACTTCGAAAGATTGCACTTTGCATTGAGTTGGACCCAAATATTTAAAAGCGAATTGTAGATGGAATTTCTCAGCGACATCTTAGTATATTTCCTAAAACATTACGATACACAAAACAAAAAATGTGCCTCGCCCGACAGTAGCGTGTAGATATATAGTCAATAAACGCTAATCGCCTGAGCAAAGTGAGAACGGACCTATGGATTATTAGGCTCAAAAAATCCATCCAGATATATAGTTATTATAGACGCATACGAAAACACGATCGACCAGAAAACATCCTAGGTGCAAGCGAAGCCGAACTGATTTCATTTAAAGCATTGGGAAA